TACCCTATAAAACTCCATCATTTGTCTCATCATTTCCTCTCTTGGCACCCTATAAATCTCCATCATTTGTTTTTGTAATATTAAGTTGTTAAATTTGTTGTGACACAGGCTGGAAGAAAAAGGATGATGTTAGTCTGTAAAAATGTATAGTTGATGATTTAATAACTGATAAATGTTACTTTCTTTCCTGTGAATTAAATTTCATGTAATTTACAGTATTCCTGGCTTTGGTTGGGGTTGTACCCAATATCAGTGGGAGATTCTACCTGATAATCCTTTTCTTTTTATTCCTTTTCTTATCTAGTGTAATAGTGAAATTGTCAGGTGTTAAAACTAGAGTTGATAGATACTTTAGCTACAGTATTTTGTAGGAGTCTTTTACTGTCTTTTATCTCTTCCTGAATTCATGATCATACTTGTTTCATAGAACTTCAATCGCCATCTGAACTAATTCATTCCCAAACCTTTCTTTCATTTTTTTGGAATATTAGATTTGAGTTTTGACTTTTGTGAGATTATGTTTCTTGTGGATTGTTTTGTAATGTCCTGTTTATCTTATAACAGATCTCTTTCTTTGTATTATTTTATAGGTATCAACCTCCATTGCCCGCTGATCAAGTGAAAGCATCAAATGATTATGATTATTATGAAGGAGGTATTATATGTCTACCATGAGTTGATTGTCAAAGATTTTTATTAACATTCCTAATTTTGAACACCTAATTTTTTAGAGGGCTCTCCGAATGCCCGAGGCCGGGGTCGTGGTGGTAGAGGAAGGGGAAGGGGCAGAGGTCCACCAGGTTTGTTTTTCTGCATCCCTTTAATAGTAATTATATATTTTTAGACTCGGATAGTCGGATTGTGTACAAGCCTCTCCTTTGGAACATATGTTTTTTTGGTGTACCTTACTTTGTAAAATTGATGAAGCAGGTTTTATTTGTCCAATGTTATTGTAGTTAAAAATCTGTCTTTCATTAGGAGAGACTGTTAATTATTTTGAAAAGGTAGTCTGTTACATATTAACATTTGGGAACATAATGATGATCTATTTCAGGCAATGGATTTATGTCTGCTGATTATGATGATGGAGGCTGGGATCAGAACCGAGGCTATCCCAGGGGTAGGGGCAGAGGAAGGGGCCGTGGCTTTCGTGGCCGTGGAAGGGGAGGGTTCAATTATAATGGTCCTATGGTAGATCCCCAGCAAGATGCAGGAGGTTATGTGCGAGGCCCACCACCTGTCCAAGGCCGTGGTAATTCTTCCTTGGCTGTCTATAACTTTCATATGCTTGTTGAGTTGAACAGAAGCTCATAGAATTAGGTCCATTAGGTCCTTTATACAATTTTTCTGATGATATGCTATTAGGCCTGTCCATGCCCCACCTACAATAGGTGGGTAGCAATTTCAAAAAAGGCCTGTCCATGTATGTAGATTTTCAATAGGGCCGTCCCAGTGATTATGGAGGACTGGAGACCTTGTGCAAATGTGCGTTTAAGAATAAATTGGGCCCTTGTTCAATTTACCATATAAAATTAAATGCAACTTTTCAACAATTGCCATTGCTAGTAAATAGTGGATGATGGTTAAAAGTCTAAGGGATAAATGGATAATACTTGAAACATAAGATCAATCCCTTCCGAGACCATTTGTCATTTTTTACACTTTTTAATCTAGCAAATAGGATTTTTGTGCTCATGTTGCTTTAGATTTCCTTGTTTTTACTTTTTATTGATTTTGTTTTGTTGTTGGTTTGGCTGATTTGATTCAATGTATTTGTTAGATTTATGTGTACTCTGTATATAATTTTAGTTCAAGAAAATTTTAGAGTGTTGCTCATTGGTGACGAGGAAAGTAGGATAACGAATATATGAAGCTTAGCAGACATTTATTACTATGTGTAATTATTTATGTTGCTTTCATGACTATGGGATATGTAATAGTTACTAAGGGGAATGATGAATGAATGAATTAATTGGTTGTGTGGAAAAAAAAAAAAAAAAAAAAAAGCAATCTAGGCGCAAAAGAGTGATTCTCACAATAATCGGTCCTTGGACTGCTTTCTAAAATGCATAAACGCTTGACCATCGAGCTACACTCTAGCATTTACATAAAAGTTGCAATTGTTGTATTATATTCTTACACTGATTTGAGGCCCCAACGGCCCAACAACATATGGGTCTTGTGCAGTTGCACAGCCTGCACTTGTTAAGGGCTGTTCATCTGGCATTTATTTTCTTTTCTGTTACTTGGTGGGGGTAAGACCTGGCTGTCTGTTTTTAAGTTTCTGTTGTCTATACTCTATAGTCATGACGGGATTGAATTAATTGCTACCAAGACAGACTGATACGAGTCTCATATATATGATTGTGTTTTTAATGCATTATAGGTCGTGGTCGCGGAAGGGGAGGCAGTCGTGGAAGGGGTGGCCGAGGTGGGCGTTCCAATGGCCCTGCTCCGGTTGCTGCTGGAGATTCTTAATTGCCCTTCCTTTGAACAGATAATGTGCAGGGGTACCTGTTTTGAAAGTGTGTAATGCCTGCTCTGTCTCTATGTTTGACATTGGTTTCTTTTTTGTTGTTAACTAATTGTACTTTTTAGGACATCGTGAATGTGTACCATTATAGACTGTAGTTTAGATTAAAGTTTCGTGTAGTCCAATTTGTGGCAATTTTTCCTTTTTCTTATCTAGAAGAGTAGGTTGAGTTATTTGTTTCGGTAAATGTATTTTGTTCCTTATTACATTGGTGAGCAGTGCATTCTTTTATTGTTTACGTTGGCAGGATTCTGATCGTCACAGCATTACCATCCTCACACAAATTAACTCCAGCTATCAATGCTGATAAATGCAATGCAGTTAGGGAACTATTGTATGATGTAAATAGCTCTCTGAGGAGTGTCTTTGGTCGGCTCTCAAGGCTGTCCTTAGTCTGTGTATAGCTACTATTTACGAAGATTACAACCTTAGTCTGTGTATGACTACTATTTAATTAGTCAAAAAGGGATTTCAAGTGCCCGTGTTGCTACCTTCATTGGTACTCTTTGGAGTCATTGCCTAAATTTTACGCAGCTCATATGGGGTTCAACATTTCAGGCACATGTATGACTACAATGGGGATAGATGGCTAATGGTTTGAAGATACATAATGAGCTAAAATGGGATGGTGCTTTGATAATGATCGAACTTGTGGGCTGTAGATCGAATTATTGGAGGATACAAATTTGGTAAGGATAACGCAGCATTGCATCAAGAGGCTCTAGCATGTTTATAAGGACTTCAATGAGCCTCAAAGTTGAACATTCTATCTCTTATAGTTTGGTAAACTAAAGGGCAAGGGTATGAGATTAAGGAAGGGAATGAGGGAGAAAGGAAAGAAAAAGTCATGATTTTTGTTGTTTGTTTAAAAGAGGAGAAAAAAAAAACCCTTCCCTCTCTTTCGTGAAACCACCAAACTCCTCCCCTCTCAACCCACCTCCACCTCCTCACGTCTACAAACACACTAGCTAGCACCAACCAACACTAAACTTAAATGCTCCACCGCACGTTTGCACCACCCCGGCCACCAGTGATTGCCTCTCACTTTTTCTCTTAGATCTAGGTTTTTATTTTTATGGGTGGTCGGGTTGCTTTTCGGGGTGAGGGTGTGTTGTTTGGCGACAATGGTGGTAATTCGAGGAAGGAGGCGAGGTTTCCGGTGGGTGGGAGTGGATTTTTTAGGGTGAAAATGGTGTTTCAGGTGGGCAGGGATGCATTTTCGTGGTGGTTGATGTGGGTTTTTGGTGGTGATTTGCTAGTAAGGAAGGCTAGGGTGGCGGCGATTGTGGAAAAAAAGTTACTAGGAAAGGGTAAGGGAATCAATAAGCCACTGGCCACATATCAGAATTTGTGTATACTACAAACTTTTCTCTAACTAGTACTATAAATTAAACTTTCCTTCAATTTTTTTTGGAAAGAAATCTAAGCTAATAGACTTCCTTTATTTTTGTGAATAAGTAGGATTTTTGGATTTTTATTTCAACTTGTTAATGCACATATATGAGTATATGACTATTAATCTCTTTGATCCAATAGCAATTAGTAAAAATTATTAAAAAAATTGATATATTAAAAGTTTATGTCGAGACTAATTTAACAAGATCTTACATGATTATGTTATTTCTTAATACGTAAAAAATATGGTCTAAGAGACTTGATTGAATAGGGTAAAACACTATAAGTTTGTGCACTAAGATAAAACATAGAAAATATTACAAAACAATCACTATACAATTCATATGTCATCATTCTCATAAGGATGATTTGAAGCAGACTATAATAACAGACCATAATACAATTCATATGTTATCCATGAGACCTAAAATCTATTCCCTCTCAATTCCATGAAGTTTTATTGTAGAAACACATGCCTAGCAAAAGATATGTAATGTTACATGTGATTATTTTAAGATCGAAGATAGAGCTAGATAAATTGTAATTAGAAAAGTAGTCGCAAAAAATGTGCAAGTTGGGGTAAATAATTAATAGTGTTTTTTTGACAAAGAAGAATAAACTAAATGTGAAAATTTCATGGACCAACACTAAAGAGTGAGAAAAAAATTTCTCATAGAACGATGGGAGTAATTAAGAGCTTGACACACAATTTTTAATTTCTTTTTTATTGTTTATAGATCTTACTCTGTCTTTTTTAATTGACCAGTTGTGATTTTTACCGAATAAGAATTACAAATTATGAAATAAGTTCGTCATTGACTACTTAATTTCTTTCAAATCAATATTATTTTGATGTAGTTTCTGAATTTTCAAAATTTTGAAATAAAATATATGTTAGATTATGAAATACATTATTGTTGTCAAACTTTTGATCAGCCATATATTACTGAATTTTTCGAGATAGCAAGCTAAATGATTAAAGTATAAAATTTTGGTTTTCATTAAAGTAATGCAATGTATATAGTGTACTTCACTATACTTATCAAAGAATTAAACTGATTAAGACATAGTTTGAAATAAAAAGAACGAAATATAATGATGGAGTTATTCTAGTAATTTCCAATCTATCACTCGAATGCCCATTGATTCTCCCTTCGAACTTCTTCCTCTTCTTCGGGTGTATAATCATTCACGATGTTGAAGTGCTTCCTTATCTCTTCCGGTGATTTTCCTTTAATCATATCGGCCACACATTGACAAGTTAAATCAAGCAATCCCTTAATATCCATGTAGTTTGCAGCTTACAATTCATCAACAAAATAATTAATTAATTCTTCATTAGTTAACCACATAATTCTTCAAAAGAAAAAAAAAACCACAAATCTTTGTAAAGAAAAACACGTATGACACTATGACTTAACATATGTAGCTTAGTGACATGAATTGACTCGTCAAATAAAGATACTTTCACAAATAATCAATGAATTTTAAACTATAATTTAAATATAGTTAACCGTACTTTAAATATTATAAATTTCAAAACCCTAAACAATAAGATTAATTCTTTATAATATAAACCCTAATAATGATCTGTTAAAGAAATCATATTTCATAAACTTCTGAACCGTAACACAAAAAAAATAGACTTAATAATAATAATACACTTATATCATATTAATATATATTAGCCCTAATCATATAATCAAGCAACAAAATAAATAAAAACAAATGAAAGAAAGAAATTTAAGAAAAAGAAAGAAATTAAAGTCAATCACAAATCAATTAAAATAAAGAAAATAGATCAAAGTAAAAGAAAGTTTCTTACAAGAATAAGATCAAATAGGGTGTTTTGGTTGACATTGAGGAAGTCCTTATCCCATTGCTTGAGTTCATCATCAGACATTACAGCTACGGAGTTATCGGCAACAGCGTGTTTGTTACAATACTCGATTACCTTAGAGAGAATTTTAGAGGTAACATTATGTAGCGGAATTGGATCGGTGCTATCACCAAGGTCTTCGATCATGTTCTTGATGGTTTGAGAAAGCATTGCTGCCTTTTCGTCGACGTTGAAAGTCTCTTTATCAGAACTCCTAAGGATTATCTTCTTGGAAGAAGATGAAGAAGAGGTTGATGCTGCCATTGCTAATTAGGTTAAGAGGTAAAAGATCGAAAGAGTTGAGAAAATTAAAGAGAGAGGAGTTGTTTGATGTATGAGAGAATATGATGAGAAAACTAAATGAATTTATCGGAAAAATAAAAAAGTTTTCCGAATTCTAGTCTAATACGGGGTAAGTCCTTGCCCACCAAGTTTACATCTACTCGTACTAGGATTCTTCCTCTATCTTTTTATGAGTTTTTAGCATAAAGATAAATTTTGTAGATTTTTATTAATTTTTTAAAATTATACTTACAGGCCCGTATTTTGGTAAGCACATCTCAAACAAAACAAGTGGCTGCTCTTCAAAAAATTGATCAGTTGAGTAATGGATCAAGTGGTTTTTACACATACCGAAAATGTGGATGAACGTGACATTTTTAGCCAAAGAACTCCAATGCAAGAAATTTCAAACAGTATGTATCTTTTCATTTATTTTTATTTACATTCTATATTGTTTTATATCTTACTAGCATTTGATATAAAAGTTTTATATTGTTATCTCCAAAGTTCTTGCAGCTTTATATACATGATATTGAAAATGAAGTCTCAAATAGAATGTCATCAGTGAGGTAATAAATTTAATCTTCAATAATTAAATTATATTTTAAACAATAATCATTAATATTTTTTATATTTCAGCAAGTTTAAGATTGATTTTATGTATTATGCATGTGTAATAATTCAGTTCTGGGAGAAGTTCGGGGAATAGTTCTGATGCATATGATATCAATATTACAAATGAGTTAAAGAGGATGCTTGATGAGCAAAATCCTCTAGCTAAAGCATTTCGGATGGCAAAAGATCAATTCGAGTCTAATGAAAGTGACGGTGTCAAGCCAAGGCTCATTGGAAGAAGAGATGTTGATGGAAGGGCATACAATTTACCTACTGCATCAGAAGTAGCGGCTCTTATTGTAGGCGACATAGACAACTCTTTTGATAAAAAAGGTTTTCCGAATTCTAGTCTAATACAATGTCCTACTGGTGGAAATGACAAGAATAATGATGTTGTTGATGAAATCAAAATGTACTATGATTGTAGATATATTTCTGCTTGTGAGGCTGTATGGAGGATTTTTGGATTCAACATTCACTATAGATATCCAGCACTAGAAAGATTGTCTTTTCACCTTCCTGGTGAACAAAATGTTGTTTCCCAAGATGAAGATACAATTGATTCTGTTATCAATAGACCTGGCATTGATTACTCGATGTTTTTAGCATGGATGAATTATAATAAAAACTATGAAGATGCAAGGAATTTGACTTATGTAGATTTTCCTACAAAATATTGTTGGAAGCAAGACCAACTTTCTCGATTGGGAGAATTCATCATGTTCCTCCAGGTTGTGCAGTGGTGAGCTCTACTATTTGATGATATTATTGAATAAAGTCAAAGGTCCTACATGCTATGAAGATATATGTACAGTAGACGGGATATTGTACCCTTCTTTCAAAGAAGCTTGCTATGCTTTAGGTTTATTGGATGATGATAAAGAGTACATTGATGCCATAAGAGAAGCAAGTTTTTGGGAAAGTGCAAGTTACTTAAGATCTCTTTTTGTGATGCTTCTAATGTCTGACAGTTTATCTAAACCCGAGTTAGTGTGGGAGCAAACATGGCAATTTTTATCAGATGATGTTCTTTCTAAGCAACGAAGAATCCTTGGATTACCTGGTATAACTTTTTTACCCTATACTTGCGTAGCTTACATATTGAGCAAACATCATGAATGCTTTGTTCAGGGGTGAAGGAGGTGTTTTTTCATTTATGGCCATGGAGGAACGGGAAAAACATTTATTTGGAAAACTTTGTCTGCTGCAATACGTTCAAAAGGTGAAGTAGTATTAATAGTTGCCTCAAGTGGTATTGCATCGCTTCTTCTAAGTGGAGGAAGAACGGCACATTCTAGATTCACAATCCCTATAAATGTGAATGAAGACTCAACCTGCAACATCCGTCCAGGCACCCACTTAGCTGAGCTATTGATCAAGACCAAGCTTATTATCTGGGATGAAGCACTAATGACTAAAAAATTCTGTTTTGAAGCTTTAGATAAAAGTTTAAGGGATATCCTTCAATCTCCTAATGATCAAAACAGCTTGGATAAACCATTTGGAGGGAAGGTCATTGTTTTTGGTGGTGACTTTCGACAAATATTACCTGCCATTCCAAAGGGAACTAGACAGGATATCGTTTTCAACACCATCAACTCTTCTTATTTGTGGAATTTTTGTAAAGTGCTAAAATTGACAAGAAACATGAGGCTTGAAAATGGATGTCTTGATGCAGCTTCAAATGAGGCTAAAGAATTTTCAAAATGGATACTAAAGGTAGGAGATGGGAGTTTAGGGGAGCCAAATGATGGGGAAGCAATAATCGAAATACCAGATGATATCCTCATTAAAGATACAACTGATCCTATGGCTTCGATAATTGAGTGTACATATCCCTCTATACTTGAGAATCTAATGGATCCAAATTATTTCCAAGAGAGGGCGATTCTTGCTCCAACACATGAAATTGTGGACATGGTTAATGAATACTTGCTATTAAAGGTAAAAGGAGAAGAAAAGGTTTACCTTAGTTCCGATAGTATCTCTAATGCTGATAGGACTACAGGATGTCAAGGTGATGTTTATTCTCCTGATTTTTAAAATAGCATCAGGTGTTCTGGACTACCAAATCACCAGTTAAAGCTGAAGGTTGGTGTTCCTGTAATGCTTGTAAGAAATATTGACCAACAAGAAGGCTTGTGCAATGGTACTAGATTGCAAGTATGTCGATTAGGAAACCATGCAATTGAGGCTAAAATAATCACAGGTCGCAATATTGGGCATAAAGTGTTCATACCTCGCATGATATTAAGTCCATCAGATATCAGGTTACCTTAATTTCAGACTACAGAGAAGGCAATTTCCGTTGGCCCTTTGTTTTGCTATGACGATAAATAAGAGTCAGGGGCAATCTCTTTCACATGTTGGACTATATTTACCAAAGCCTGTTTTTAGTCATGGTCAACTATATGTTGCAGTATCAAGGGATAAATCTAAAAAAGGATTGAAAATTCTTTTTTGTGACAAAGAAGGTCACACCAGTCATATTACAAACAATGTTGTTTACAAAGAAGTATTTTAGAATTTATGACCAGGTAACTTCATTTAATTATGATTTTTTAAATTAATTTGTCACTGTAATTTTAAATTGCTTATTATGATATTTAATAGTTGGATTTTTTTTTGCTGTACGAATTTTTTTGGGCATTCATGGATTTTTACCTTTGAAATATTGTTTGATAAAAAAATAAAATTATAAAGCTTAACCATTACTCTGTATTTCTTATATAAATCTAAATTCTAATTTTGCAGCTGTTTGTACCTGTATCCGTCCCAGATATTATCCCCGTATCCGTCTCGGTAGTCGGTACTACTTGTGATGTACAACTTTGAGCTACAAATGAACATGCGAGATTCAAAGTCGGTCTCCAAATTTTGATACCAAGAGCAAGATGAATTTGTCTATAATTTAGTTTTGTTAATTTTTTTTTGGCAGGAGTTTTATTATTATTATCTGACAATTATCTATCTATATATGTAATAAAATAGATCTAATTAGGTCTTTTTTTTTTTTTTTTTTAATTTTTTAATTTTTATTTTTACGAGTATATTAATTGTGTGATTTTTTCAATTCGTATTACTCTATTAAAAACCCATTAAGGTACAAACATATGATTGAGAATAATTCAAAGTTAATTTGTTTATCAAGCAAAAAAACTATTCTACCATTTTCCATCACAAACTTTCTGGCTTATTTTTGGCTTCAAAATTGAAAGCATAGTAAAAAATAAACGTTTTTTCACCAAATACCCCTGAGTTTTAACATAATTCACCGAATAACACCAACATTTTTCAAATTCACCAATACTCTTCAATTTTATGAAAATGTCACAACATGTCATTTTGTTAACTCAGTTAGTCATCAACGTTAATTGTGGCACGTGGCAACTTGTAATTAGTACTTATTAATATTAATTATTAAATTAATTAACTTTGGAAAAATTATTAAAAAAATTAAAAAAAAAAACAAAAAACACCACCAACTCAGCCACTGCTGCCACTAGCCCAGCCCCGACCTCTACCCCGGGCTGGCCGCCTGGTCCACTTCCTGGCCGGCCGGCGACCATCCCCCCTTACTCATCGACGAAAATCTCAACCCCGACCACCTCTCCCTCTCGAATTCCCAGCCACCACCTTAGGCGAATTCCCCTCGCCCTCTCGATTTTCCTAGCCACCACCTTATCGCAATTCCCCAGCCACCACCTTAGCACCGGTCATCACCTTCGCCGGCAGCCCAAACCCTTTCCCACACGTCGCCGCCGCCTAATTTGCCCAAAACCAGCACCTCGAAACCCTAAAACATCAAAATCGAAACCCTAGATTTTGGTTTTAGGGTTTCGGCGTACGTGGTGGATTAGTGAGGTGGAGATGGTACCGGGAGAGGCGAATTCAGTTAGCCGACACGGGGGAGAGGGGTTTGGGTGCTGGCCGGTGGTTAAGGGAGTGTTTTTTGAGAGAGATAGAGGGTTTTGGTCGAGGGAGACACAATGGTTCAAGGGAAGGGGAGCAGCACAGGCGAGGGAATCTGGTTGGATTTTGGGTCGACGCGGAGGGGTTTGGTAGGAGTTCGGGCCGGCGGTCGAATTCCATCGGCGGGTGGTGGGGAGGACGTGGGTGGCTGGGGTTTGGTTTTTATTTTTTTTGATAATTAATTAAATAATTATTCTAAAATTAAATAAATTAAAAGGGGAACATTATATGTTGTCACGTGGCATATTAGCCTTAATGACTAACGGTGTTAACGTTCGTTAGTCATTAATGACATGTTGTGACATTTTCCTAAAACTGAAGAGTATTTGGTGAATTTGAAAAATGTTGGTGGTATTTGGTGAATTATGTCAAATCTCAAGGGTATTTGGTGAAAAAACCGAAAAATAAATATTACATTTTAACCTCAACACCTTGACAATGAGGAAGAATTGCATGAGAAGAAGCTCCAAATTCAATTATATGCTCCGTGCATATTCAAAATATGATCCAACTTGTGCTTGAATTGGACCTAAAAACTACCCAAATTGTCCTAAAATCCATAATTTTTTGACCTATATCAGACCTGAATGGAAATTGACTGGATCTTAACTCAATACCCAAAGTGACCCGATTTAGCTGTACCCGATCCAAAGTTGACAACATGCTCTCTAAATTTAGAAAATTAACATGGCTAACTCGGGTATGTTGACAACATCCTCCTTATACAATTATTTTCTCACTTTCTTTGATCTACCCAGTGAATCTCTTAATCTTTAACTGTAGAGCAGAAAATTAAGGTCCTGTTCTTTTGAGATTCTAGGCAGAGCAGAGCAAATTTTAGCAGAGCAGAGCAGATTTCACCATTATTATTATTATTATTATTATTATTATTATTATTATTATTATTATTATTATTATTATTATTATTATTATTATTATTATTATCGTTGTCGTAATTATTATTAGTATTATTGATATTATTAAAATTATTATTATTATTATTATCGCATTATTATCATTAATTATTTATTATTATTATTATTATTATTATTATTATTATTATTTGATTTTTTAAAGATTTTTTAACTCTTTTTATAACATTAGAAAATGTGTTAAATAATATAAAACATTAATTATTATCATTAAATATTATTTATTATTATCAATTAATATTATATATTAATTATTTTATTATTATAAAATATTAATTATCATTATCTATAAATATTAGTTATTATTATATAATAATAATAATAATAAAATTTATTAATTTTATTAAATAATAATTATTATTTCTAAGTTGAGCAGAGCAGAGCAGGGCAGGGCTGAGTAGAGCAGATTTTAGTAGAGCAGAGCAAGGTAGAGCAGAACATCTCAAAAGAGTAGGGCCTTAACATGGCTAACTTTTTTTTTTGTAACTTATACGGAGTATAATTGGAATTCGGAGAGCATGTTAAAATTAAGAAAGGAAAGAAATGGTGGGCTGAGTTTACAAAGAAAGGAAATAAATGGTGTGGTGTGATTGGTGTCAATGTGTCATGTGGTTATAGAAAAGATAGTACTTGATAAGGAGGAAATGTCAGAACCTATTTTTTTATGTGGTTAAAATAAATATTGGTTTTATATTTAATCAATGAAAATATACCATCTAATTATTTTTTTCAATTTTTTTTTTGAAGAAACGCTCAAGGAGCAAAAAAAAAAAAAGTAAAATTGCATAGGTGTTAGGCGTATACTCCTTATTAAAATCTCTGCCTTTTTTTTACTTTGGGAAGTTGAAAATCAATTAATCAACTCCTTCAATTTGGAAAGATGAATATTCCAATTTCCAAAAAATATAATTAATTATAGCCTAAAATCCTTATCTAATATATATCCCTCTTCAACTTCCTTCCCAATTTAATCTCCAATTCAATTGGGTAATTTTTCTAGTTTCTCATTTTATTTGTTTCTGATTTTTGTTCTTCAACTTAGTATACTCCGTATTTTATTTCTATACTGATATAATCTTTTGTTTTTTTGCTAGTAATTCATGGCTAGTCTTATTAAAAAAACAAAAATCAGTTGGTTTGGGGTGTAAATGTGTAATAAGAATATAAGATAAGATATGGAGATAAATATTGGTAACAAATTCAGTGATAATAGTTTTTTTAAAAAAATTTGAGTATAATTTTTTGAACTTTTTTGCATAATCTAATTTTTTTTCAGATGTATGAATATAATTGAGTATAATACGATGTAACAATTATATTAATTATGGAAATAAAATTGATGTTGATGTTTTATAATCCATAGAATGGAACTTATTGAGTACTCCGCATAATATTCTGTTTTCTTTTGTTTTTTCATGAATAACTAGCTTATTTATTTATTTATTTATTTATTTGTTGCCTTGATAATTTGATATTGAGACTGAATTTTCGTTTGACTCTCTTCAATGCCGGTGGAATACCATTGACAGCTTGAAAAAATATTTTGTATGAGCATTAGGCTATTAAATAAAATTTAATTTTTGTTATGAAATATTTGTGGATATCCATTATCCTCCTTGTATCATTCCAGAATATTCTTTTATTGTTATCTAAGCAAACCTTAGTTATATTGTATGTATATATATCCCCACTCTATGGAATAATATAGACTGAATTATTCTCTCCTATCTCTCTTTATTTCTCTTCCATATTTAACACCTATTGCTCTAGATTGATTTTAATATCAATTGAAACATCATAAATTGACTGATCTCAAACGACAATCAAAGTAACTCCCAACATACTCTCAAACTTCTCCCTAATACTACTACCTCTTGATTTCACGAACATCAATCAGAAAAATAATTTCCCAAACCCCTCTGCCGAAACCACCGTTGCTCTGCCGATACCACCGATCCCTGCTGCCACCGTTGGTCAGCCGTACGTCGGAGAGGACTCAAGCCCGTAAGCTGCCTGCTGCCGCCGTTCACCGCTCTGGCCTCCCGTGCTTCGTCATCCACCCATAAAATATTCCGTGACCTTATAGGTGAATCACTGAATTTTTACCTCTTAATTTCTTATATTTTACATACTATTTGTTTTGTTAATTTGTTTATAGATTTATATCTTAAACTCTTGATAATAAATTATGATGTATTGAGTTCATATTGATTGATTAAGTCGAATTAGATACTTTAGTAGCTAGAAATCAAGATCTTAGTTTCTGGGTTTGCTGTAATTCAAGAATAATAATGCAGAAATTAGAAATAAAATTTGATAATCAATGAAATTTGATTTACGTAAAGATTGCGAAAATAAGTTTTTTTTAAACATAAATTGCTCCTTCGACATAATCAATTCATAGTATAAGTTTAATCGTAAGTGCAGAATAGCTGGTTTTAGGCTTCAGTTCATGAGGAAAATAGATTGCTCCCTATAAACTTCTCCTCTGTAGACCTTTTAAAGGGATAGATATATTTGTTAGTTTGCTCAGTGATTGTGTGAGCTTCTGTATTGCAGACATTGCCGTATTGGTGGAATGGTGAATGGTTTGCTTATTGATATTTTTGGTCTATTTCTTTCTCGTATCCATTAATCGTTGAAACTAATGAAATTTGAGTATTACTTACCTTATTAACAATGGACTCCTTTTTGGAGGATTAGCTTTGTACTCAATGAGTCAATGTTTAAGATAGAGGAGAGAGAAAATGGAAGAAGATAAACATATTCACAGAAGCAGAACAAATAATACTTACTCTTTTAGAACAGTAACATAAAACGCCAGGTGATTAAGAAAGGAGGCTGCTTTCGAATAAATACAATTGAGAATATGCTTTTCAACGATGTTTTTTTTGGGTTCTCAAATTATTGATGTGTGGTTAGTAATTTGTTTGATAAGAGTATAGTATTATGTTGAGTTTAGATGAATTATTGGAGTTAATTACGAGTTGTGATTGGTTCTGTAATGTATTTTTCTTTTGAGATTCTTTCCATGAAAGATTTATTGTTTCCTTAATAAAATTTATCAAGGTTTATGTTTGGTTATGATAATTGATTAGTGGACTTAATTGTGGTCTCATGAACAATAACCTTCTCAAGGTTCAATACGCAAATCTTGTTATAATTAATTACTTGAAATTAGTCGTCTCATTTGAAACTTGGAATATATATATATATATATATATATATATATATATATATATATATATATATATATATATTATACCACCTTAGTTCCTAATTTATAATATTGTTTTATATATCAGTGAATCATGTCAAACCTTGCAATACTCGAATTTGTTGCTCTTGATATTACTGGAAACAACTATCTATCTTGAGTGTTAGATGCTGAAATACATTTAGATGCAAAGGGACTTGGTGATACTATTAAAGAAAACAACACTGCAACAAGCCAAGATAAGGCTAAAACTATGATATTCCTTCGCCATCACCTTCATGAAGGTCTTAAGACTGAGTACTTGACTGTTAAAGACCCACAAGTCCTTTGGAGTAATCTAAAGGAAAGGTATGACCACCAGAAATCTGTGATATTACCAAAAGCTCGTTATGACTGGTTACATTTAAGATTATAAGACTTTAAGTCTGTGAGTGAATACAACTCAGCCATGTTTAGAATTACATCACAATTGAAATTATGTGGAGAGAAAATCACGGATGCAAAAATGTTAGAAAAAAACATACTCTACTTTTCATGCAAACAATGTTGTCGTGCAGACACAATACCGTGAAAAGGGTTTTACAAAATATTCTGAATTGATATCTTGTCTCCTTGTGGCTGAACAAAATAATGAACTATTAATGAAAAATCATGAATCACGCCCAACTGGCTCTACTCCATTCCCTGAAGCGAATGCGACATCCCAAAAGGCTAAAGATCACGTCAGCAGGGCGTGGTCGAGGCCGTGGTCAAGGTCGTGGTCGCGGTCGTGGACGTAGAAATGATCGTGGTCGAGGTGGTCATTTAGGAACTCATACTCTCACCAGAAGTGGGACAATAAAGATGGAAATAAGAATGAGAAGGGTAAAAATGAAAATATATGCTACCGTTGTGGAGGAAAAGGCCATTGGTCTCGTATGTGTCGCACACCAAAACATCTAGTAGACCTCTATCAACAATCAATCAAACAGAAAGGAAAGAAAGTGGAAACAAATTTGGTGTACGAGGATGGCGAAGGTGATTTTGATTACGATGATAAAACTCACCTGGAAGCAGCTGATTTCTTTCCTAATCTTGAGGAAAATAATTGAATAAATCATGATCCATTGGCGAATAAACTCTATTAATTAGCTTGCATTTATTATAGAATTTTTATCGTAGTGCTATGATTTTATGTTTTATGGGACATTTGTTTTTGGACAATTTTATGTTTTTGGATATTTTTATGTTTTTGGATATTTCATTATTATCATTATCAGTCATTTATTAATTTAAGTTATTTGGTTTAGTGAATCTTATTTTAGAATATTAAATTGAGAATTTTTAGTATAAAGATTCATATAATTGGGCAAGAGGAACGAATATGAGTTTTATAAGAATCATTTAATTTGCTTGATACATGCATTGATAAAAGAATTTATGGCTTAAAAGGTGTAAGAGATTTAAAGGCAGTTGGATCAATTTAATGCCCCCACATGCAAGGATTAGGGGGGAGATAATATTTATTTCATTATTTTATGTAATCCTTGCACATATATAATAAAAATATATTGATGGTCAGTTTGGTACATACATTAACTTAAATATTAACGTTTTATTTAATAAAAGTGGCCACATGTTAATTAATATATTTCAAGATGATACCATCCTAAAGATGGATATGAATAGATGTTATTAGCTAGCTCTAAGTAAAATTAATGTCCCAGAAGGACAACATCAATTATTGATGAACCTAAAGCACGCCTAAAGCGTGGTAGCCGTAGCCGAGCCCAATAGATTTCAAAGATAAGAATCTTGAAACAGGAAAAGAGCAATTATTGACAATAGCAAATTTGAGGAAGTAATACATTTTGATAGATCTTTATAAGAGATTATATTTAGTAAAATGGATATGTACCATGATTATATAGAGTACTCTAGAAGAGTATAGAATATCCAACAAGCTTAGCATGTATCAAGATTATAGTCAAAGCTCCAGCAGAGTATAAAATTTTGGATCAAGTATTAGTTGATTGTCTTGCCAATTACATAAAGAAACACATGTTGGTGTTCTAATATCACATCATATTCATGACCAAGCATAAAGTAATATTAATAAAGTGATCACTAGTGTTGGAAAACTGACCAGAGTTCAAATTTAGAGAAATGACTAGATGTGATGATTAAATTAGGCCATCCGGGTTTAATAATTACCCGTCATGAAAACTTGAAGTTTCACTTGATTTAAAAGAAATTGTGTGCTGACACTCTCTCATGTTAGATATATAAAATGAATTGAATGGCAAGACATAAAGTTGAGAATGAGCTATATTTAGATTGTGATTTAATAGTTTGTTTTGAAGAAATTTCAGGAGATTATATGCTAGTTTTGAACAATTTTGCATGTGAACAAGCTAAGTAATAATAAGTGGCCAGAAGCTCACTAAAACAAGTTGTGTGTGTAGAGAGATTTTGAGTAACTAGATGCTCATTATCAAAATATTTGGAGAATTAGAAGATCTACATACAATGGCTTTACAATTTACATGCAAGTGGTCAATCTCTTGATTGGGGATATTTTATGTCATCACATAAGAAATAGAATAAGGAAAAACGTACAACTGCACAACACATGTCTCCACATTGACATTGATCTCCAAAAGAGAATATATTATGAAAATTGTAATAATAAATACACATGCAATGTAAAGTTAATGAAGAAATGATTCTTCATTGAAATTCTTCTCCAGAAGAGATAAGTGTTGTTTAATACAAATCTTCTGAGAGATAAATTTTGATTGTGATCCTCGCAATGAAATGAATTTTAATGCAAATTTATATATTAAGTTGGTATAGAATTAGACGCCCCCATAAATGAGATATTTTACCAACTTAGGGGGAGAAGAATCGACAAAAGTTGGAAAATCGAAAGGAATTTGATGATCCCTATAATGGTAGTTTGAAAAGTTATATGCCAACTTTTGTCTATATATTATCAAGATATGTTGCACATTTAGGATTTGATTTGTATTCAGTTATGACTCATGTTGCATAGCGTTGAAGATACATTTTGGTCATTTTATGTGTATACATTGAGATAAAATCTTGCCAATTATACTTGAATCACTACACCTGAAGTGTGGTTTGTATGATCGGTTCCAAAATAAAGATAGATATGTGGCAAGATAGTGCAATTAACACTTTTAATATTGTAATAGTATATAAATACCATAGTGTATGAAATAACCTAAAAGTTGTATAGATATCTGAATTATTACAATAAATGGCCTATGATGTAAGGAAGTTATGATGGTACCAATAAGAAATGTATTCAGATATCATAGTAAAATAGCATGCGAAATGTACGTTAAGGGAATATTATGATACTGGCACACAAGGGAACCAATAAATAATATGCATATGCATGATAGAATGGACTAGTGAATAAAGGATCTGAAATATATATGTCCATTTTGATGTCGACATAATGATAATGATCAAAAGTTTATCATGGACCAGAAGTCCAATGAAATATGGATTTTTAAATCCACACGGTACAATGTCTTGCATTATTTTGAGTCCTATGTATGTTTATATGCATGTATGAGTCATAGGTTAACAGATTGGTCATTGCATATGTCAGTAGTTGTTAGATGCATTACTTATTGTATATTTTGCTTAATATGTTATCATGTTTTATATATCTCATATTGTAATTATTATCAAACTCTTGAAAAGTCTGTGTAACTACATCATTGACATCTCAACCTGAAGTTTGAGCATATGAAAGTTCGTGAGATTTGCTTTTTGTATTTGCAAGAGAGCTATCATGTTAATTATGAAACTTCTACAGAATATCAATGGAATACTTATGTGTGAGAATGTTTTCTTATGGTCTAGAAGAACCATGATAGATTAGCATATCTAATTACATGTGTTATATTATAATTCAGATGAGATTGAAGTACAACATTAATAATATCAAGTTTTGTCATCAAATTATTATTAATGAATGTTTGATCAAATAATGATCATCGATTTCTATTATTCACGACCTCCAGAAGAAGGCCTAACCGCATAAGTTTAACTTTTAAAGTAACTTTATTCAAACAGAGGGTTGGAATGATGTAGAGATAAATACATGTATGGTGAAATGAAGACACTTCACATGTTCACTTGAAGACTTGAAGATGCAATTTTAGTTTAGGAGGATCGAAGACCAACAAATGATATTTTACTACATATTAGAAGATATCCAATTATATTGGATTCATTGTCACAACACTAGAAGATCTCAAGTTATGCATTCACCAGGGGGAGAAAATACGTGCTGCACTCTTTTTTACTTAACCATGGTTTTGTCCCACATTGGTTTTCCTGGTAAGGTTTTTAATGAGGCGGCATCTCGAGCGTATTACGAAGAATGTTGTACTCTTTTTCCTTCATTAGGTTTTTATCCCAAGGGTTTTTCCTAATAAGGTTTTAACGAGGCACATTCTTCGATAATGGACATCCAAGGGGGAGTGTTATGAAATAGGATTAATACCGTTTTTTAATCCCAACTTTTACCAATTTAGTTTCATTAATCCCAACTTTGGATTATTCCTCAATAATCCCAACTTTAAGGTGACCTATCTTTCTTCAATCCCAAAAATTGGTTACCGGTTGAATGGGTTAATTTTGTTTTTTTTGTTAAAGTGACATGTGTCGCAAATATTGGTTAAAAAAAAACAAAATAAAAAAAAAAAAAAAACAATTAAGAGAAAAAAAAAAATCAAAGCCCCTAGCCCCCTTTTTACGGCCTAATGACCACCCTACGCCGCCGTCTACAACCCACCCCTTCCCCTTCCCATCCCCACCTCTCCGTCCTCGGCAACCTAGCCCACCATCACCACTGCCGTACTCGCCATAAAACCCACCACCTACAAACCCATGAAATCCCACAAAATCCGCCATCACCACCGCCGTAATCGCCATAAAACCCACAACATCCCACAAATTAGTGGCTGGTGTTGGTCGCGGTTATTAAGGGGGCTCTGCGGTGTAGTGTTAGTGACAATTGGTGTCGATGTTGTTGTAATTGGTTGTAGTGTGAGAGAGATGCGAGGGAGCAGTGGTTGAGTAAGGGAGATGCGGTTGTCGGGGTAGAGTGAGGGAGATGCGGCACTGCTGGTTGCGAGGGAGACTCGGGTTTGTGAGTGTTGTAGCTATTGTGGTTAGTGGGTCTGGTGTTGAGGGTTTGTGGTGGTTGGTGTTTTGGGTGGTGGTGAGGGTTTCGCGGTGTTCAGGGAGTTTAAGGGTGGCACTGGGGTGCGAATTGCTGCGATTTGTGGGGCTGTGTGGGTGGCGACTGATTGGTAGTGGAGAGTTGCGAAGTTTGGTGATTTCGGAGGTGCGAATGGACTGGGCAGTGGTAGTGGTGGTTAGGGTGGGACGGTGGGGAAGGGGAGGTTAGTTGGGTTTTTCTGATTTTGTGGTTTTTTTTTCTGTTTTTTTTATTTTATTTTTTTTATTTTTTTTAAACCAATCAGGCCTTGACACGTGTAAAGTGACCTGATATAAAAGGTTTAGTTACCGGTTGGGTATGAAGAATGATAGGCCACCTTAAAGTTAGGAT